ATAAAGTTAATTTTAGTCTTATTAAGTACTTTCCATATTTGGGGTTTTATTTAATCCTTTTTTTTTCTAGAATTTAAGGTAAAACTTCAGATAATTTATTTTAAATAATATTAAAAGTGTTTAAATGTGCACATTTCTCTCTAAGCAATGCTTGACTATATCAGACAAATTTTGATATATTGAAGTATGCTAAGTTTCCTTGTGTGTTCTTTTACCCATGGTTATTTAGAAGTTTAATTTATAAATATCTGGAAATTATTTGAGTATTTTACTGTTTTTGACCTCTAATTTAATTATTTTCCATAAGAGATCATATCCCCTGTGATTCCTATGCTTTTAAATTTATTCACCCTTGTTTTATGACCCATATGCTCTTGAAAGAAAGTGTGTTGTTTTGGGGTAGAGCAAGCACAAGCAGGAATGGACCATCACCTCTCCATCTGTCTTTAGATGCACATGACCATGATGACCTTCAGAGGACTATGCTGTTCCTTTACTTCTGCCTTCCAAATCTCACCCAAATTCCTCTTTGGCCAACTCTAACTCACCAACATACAAGAAGAAAGTTCTGAAATGTATTTCCAACTTATCCATAGTAACACGGTACAAATCACAACAGGATTGTTTTCTCTCCTAGCAAAACAAACAGGATTCAAAAGTTATTTCTTCATGTAATAGGGTTGTGTGGCTATTAAATCATAAGAAAAAGAAAAATATTTGATCCGTCTTCAGATTCATATGCATCTACACAGAATCCGAGAAACTGAGTGAAAGCAGTATGTCTTCTTCAGGGAAAGATATTTTTTAAAGGCTTCCTGCATTTGCTACTACTTTGATAGAAATTTAAGTTTTCTCCCGCATATAGGCATTTTCTTTAAATCATGAGTTAAAAGGTTTGAGTTGCTTGTTTTCATTATATAAAGAGAATTATTATCAGGGTAATGTGATGTATTTTTCTGACATTTTTTAAATAATAGTTTTATTTTCAATCGTAAGGGAAAAGTTGTATAGTACAGTCAGCATAAATCCTTTAATATAGAGTTACTGATTCCTTCTCCAAATGTCTTAACAAGAATTTTTCAAACATACACAAAAGTGCAGAAGTGATAATGAACCTATATCTAAATGTCACCCAGCTTCAAATATTATTAGCATCTTGCAATTCTTGTTCTATTTATTGAGCCCTTCCCCTGTTTATCATGGAATATTTGAAAACAAATTTTAGGCATTAGACCATGCATATTATAAATATTTCAGTATCTAAGTCTTTTTCTCAATATTAAGCCACAGCTTATTGAGTTTTATTTTTATTCCAGGTTTATAAATCAATGGATGTCCCAGAAGGAAAAAGTTTTTAAAATTTGAGGATTTTTCCACCCATTCTCAAATATATTCTAAATATAGATTTAGTTTTAACAAAGCTACATTTGAGAGACCCATGGGACATCTATCTGTGAAGCCCCAAACAAATCTTGTTGTTTTGCTTGGGTATCTCCAGAGAAGATGTTAAGCTTAATATATAATGTTCTTCATTAATGTAGTGCAATTGTTTCTGAGTAATATCAGGCATGAATGGGGATTTGAAAACATCCATCATCAGGGTAAGTTTGGCTGATTCAGGAGAAAACAAATACATAAGATGCATGGAAAGTTTGCTACTGAATAGAAGGAATTTGAGTTAGAGAGTGATTCAACAAGGAAGATTCTGAATTATCTCATGCTTTAGAATTCTGAAATGAAAGAGATTTGCAAATTGCCTTAAGGAGAAAGAAAAAGTGGGGGGAAAGTAAATGTAGTTTAGGCACTGGAGGAAGGAGACTCCATGATGCTGATGTGACAAGGACCAAAGAGATAAAGTTACAGGCAGGCATATTTCTGTACAATAATAGAAAAACGTCTCTGCTCTCTATAGATGGAAAAGTCTTGCTTAGAATGTGCTAAAACCTCCACCAATAAGAATGAATTAGTTCAAGAGTTAGAAGAAATTCCAGTGATCATGTAGTCCAACTTCTTGACACTAATATTTGTAACACATGCCATTTACCCTTTGTTTGAATACATCTGATGACAGTGATCTCATCTTTTAGAAAATTTTAGCTGCACAAATGAACATTTCTTGAACCCAAATTTACTTCCGTATAACTTTTTCTTTTCATTATCATAATGTATGTCCTCAGGGTATGTAAAATAATACAAAAGGCAGTTACATGCATTTACTATATGTCCTCTCCCCAATTCCACCTCCAATTTAATTTGTTTTAAGAAACCTTTAAGATTAAAGGCATTTTCAAATCATGTTTGTCTTCTTGCAGATGCATGCTTACTTTCCAATGTTTATCTTAACTCTAATTTGTTAGGGTATTTATGTAGAAGGTACTTCAAAAAGTTTGGGCCGGCCCAGTGGCGCACTGGAGAGTGTGCCGCTTGGGAGTGCAGCGGTGCTCCCGCCGAGGGTTTGGATCCCATGTGGAGACTGGTTCCCGCTCACTGGCTGAGCACAGTGCGGGCGCAACACCGAGGGTTGCGATCCCGTTACCGGTCAGTAAAAAAGACAAAAAGGAAAAAAAAAAAAAGTTCATGGAATAATTTGTTTTATATTTCAATTCTATTTTTAACAAACTTTTTTTTTTTTTTTTGTCTTTTTTGTCTTTTTCCGTGTCCGGCAACGGATCACAACCCTCAGTGTTGCCCCCGCACCGGGGACCGGCAAAGGGATCGCAACCCTCGGCGTTGCTCCCACGCCTCGCTCAGCCAGTGAGAGGGAACCGGTCTGTATGTGGGATCTGAACCCTCGGGCGGGAGCGCCGCCGCGCTTCCCAAGCGGCGCACTATCCAGTGCGCCACTGGGCCGGCCCTTTAACAAACTTTTTGATGTACTCTTGTACAAGTATGAGGACCAATCAAAAAGGAGGTTTTGGAATTTATTCATTCTTTCATTATACAATTTTTTTCTTGTGCTAAGATATACCAATGAGCAAAATAGACAGCAATCCCTGTGCACATAGATTTTACATTCTAATGAGGGGCAACAGACAATAATAATTGCTGTGCAGTAAGGAAAAGCTGGAAAGAGAGATGTTATGCCAATATTGTTGGGGGTCTGGGAGTTGAAATTTTAAACTGGGAAGTATGAAAAACTTACTTTTAAGATGCCATTGAGTAGAGACTTGAAACTGTTGAAGGTATGTGCCATGGTAATATCTTGGGAAGAACACAGCAGGCAGTGAAAATGGCATGTGGAAATATCCTGAACTGCGCACTTGAGTTTGAGAAACCTCAAGAGGTATGAATAGACTGAGAGTGTCAGAGTTAGAATGGTGGGAGATTTACATTCAGAGATTTAAAAGGTTTCTAATTGTATAGCATTTTGTAAATAAATATAAGAATGTAGGTGTTTGCTCTGAGTGATATGGAAGAACACAGGAGGTTTTAAGGGAACGATAGGTACAATTTCTCTTACATTTATTTTATTGATAAAATAATGGTAATAATACAAACAATAATTGTGATAGTACTATATATTTGGGTTTTTGTGTCCCAGGTTGCAATGAAAGTTTCTATTATTTACTCTACTTAAGGTTAAAAGCATTTAATAATATTCAGCTCTTAACTTTTTCTGTTTTCTAGAAGAATTTGCTTTGCCTTTTTTATGTATTGAGATTATTTACACAGCAACGTTTGAAAAGTTTTCCACTGGTTAAAATTAATGGTTAAAAACCGCACTTATATAGAAAACTCTGGGCTATAGATATGTATTGAGGTGGAGGAAGAGAGAGAGAGGGGGGGGAGGGAGGGAGGGAAAAGCTATCAAAATTAGAGATTAGGAAAAGGCTGTAACATGGGGGATATTAAAATGAAACAGAAGATGATATAAAATATAACTTGTGAAAAGGCAATAAAGTATGCTATACAATGTTATGGGAAGATGCATAACTCAAGTTGATAATATAAAACAACCAATCACTAAGGAAATATTTTTAAAATATAAGATAATGAAGAATTTTCTCAAAAAAAAAGACCCTGGAATCTAACAATTTTAATCAGAAAATCTTTCAGAATGGACCCATGTCTCAAAAATTAGAAGAAAGATGAAAAGCAAGGTGTTGTCAAAGAAAGACTAACATTAATAAGGAGTCCACTCTACCCAATATAATTGTCTATAGTTATTTGGTGCCTAAAAATAATATATCAAAAGGAGACATAAAAGTTATGATTACATATATACTGAATGTGTGTGTATATACATATATTGTATCCATATATATCATGCTTATATACTTAGAAACTTGAAAGGAATTAATATATTGGAATTAGAGCTGAACAATGTCATTGGTGAAATGTAAATATTATGAGAATATTTGATGTTTACTAGCAAGAAACAATTAGAGATATAATACAAAGTGCACATGACTATGCTTTGTAAGTTGTAACTTATTATGTAACTTTTTGGCCTGTCATATCTTGTGCTCTCGATTATTATGACTTGCAGACTTGCCAGAGTTAGACTTGTATAAAGATCAAGACAAGCCCCATAATAGATGTGTAAGGAATTGGCTATAGCCCGATGGGAACATTTGAAATGACATCTTGGAACAAGGGAATTTATGTGGGCAGTTAGGAGAAACAATGTTATTTAAACATCACTCATAATATGAAAATTAGTTGAGGCAAAAACAAGCCTTAGTGACTGGACTGCGAATATGAGCAAGTACATATGCACAGCATTTATAGTATAAAACCAAGCCAGGTCAGGGCTTTGACACTATGCTTGCAGTTATGTTTGCATACTTTTGATTCAGTAATAAGCTTAGGACAATGCAGCAGGATCAAAGAATGTAGGCTACGGAAAAAAACATGAATTATTTTCTCTAAATTTATCACTTATATTGTACAAAATTCTGTTCATCTTTTGCTTCTGGATGAAAATAATCTCACTACTCTCTTCTTGTACAGGACACCTTTACTGCCACAGAAAGTAACATGTTTTCTAACTGACCATCATGCTTGGGGCTAACAGCTCCAGCCTGACACCAAGGTACTTCATCCTTAATGGAATTCCTGGGCTGGAATCCACACACATCTGGATCTCCCTGCCATTCTGCTTCATGTACATCATTGCTCTCATGGGCAATTGTGGGCTCATCTACCTCATCAGCCATGAGGAGGCCCTGCACCGACCCATGTACTACTTCCTAGCCTTGCTGTCCCTTACGGATGTTACTGGGTGCACATCATTTGTCCCCAATATGTTATGTATCTTTTGGTTCAATCTGAAGGAGATTTACTTTAACGCCTGCCTTGTGCAGATGTTTTTCATCCACATGCTGACAGGCATGGAGTCTGGTGTGCTCATGCTTATGGCTCTGGATCGCTATGTGGCCATTTGCTACCCTCTGCGCTACTCCACCATCCTCACCAACACTGTAATTATCAAGGTCGGGCTTGCCACCTTCACTCGAAGTGTGTTGCTCATGATCCCATTTACTCTCCTGATCAAGCGTCTTCCCTACTGCAGAGGCAACCTCATTCATCACACCTATTGTGACCATATGTCTGTGGCTAAATTATCCTGTGGCAACATCAAGATTAATACTATCTATGGTCTCATAGCTGCCATATTGATTGGGGGGTTTGATATGTTCTGTATCTCCATATCTTATACCATGATTATCCGTGCCGTAGTGAATTTATCATCTGCAGATGCTCAGCACAAAGCCTTCAGCACCTGCACATCTCACATATGCGCTATTGTCATTACCTATGTCCCAGCCTTCTTCAATTTCTTCACTCACCGCTTCGGGGGATGCACCATACCTCACCATGTCCACATTTTTATAGCCAACCTCTATCTGTTGTTGCCCCCCACCTTGAATCCAATTGTCTATGGAGTGAAGACCAAGCAGATTCGTGAAGGAATGATCAAACTGTTTTCCAGAGAGAAAGATATATTTAGTATGAGATAAATGTATGATATAGATTTCTGCACTTAACATAAAGGTGAAGAAATTTATAGTGGAAGAGAGTAAATACAAAATTCATAAACCATGAGCTCAGGAGAAAATCTCTGTGAACATTCTGCAATAAAATTAATGAAACCATCAAGAGATATTTAATCAATGACCTCTAAACTGATAGAAAAAAGTACAAAGGAAACAATTATACATTTCACATAATTTCTCATTAGATAGACCACATGGAATGGACACACAAAATGAAACAGCTAGAATATCCAACTTCAGGTAAACTCTTGATGATTAATGCACTTTTGACTAGTTATACTTGGGGAGTATATAGAAAATAATAAAGAATGTCAGATAGTCTAGAGATACTCCACAAGATTGAGGAAGGCACATAAGCAAACTGTCCTGTGTGTTACATGGAACTATTCCCAGAATGTTTGTACTGAATTACAGGGGTCCTGTCATTCTTCTTATTGCAAATTTAGGTGAAACATATATAACTTCCAGGAGAAAAAATCGTCGCCTGTACATTTGTCTCTGACATCCTGATGATTGGCTAATTATTCACAGTCTTCTGAACATACTGGTGCATACAGAAATAAAGCCGAGTAAGTATCAGTAACTAAAGTTCATCATAACCTGAGAAGGACTCCTTGCAGTTAATGTC